TCAAGACCTACAGATAGCTTTGTTAACCAACGAAAAGATTTGGTATCATGAAGAACACTGTCTTACAAGTATGTCGATTTTGCAATAACATTTCCACTTTATGTATGTCAAGAAATAAGAGAAAAAATTAAGGAAATTTGAAAGGAGAGATGCCCAGGATTAGAGAAAATTAAGTGGGCAATACTTGTTAAAAACTGAGCCTCAGATGACAGCCAGAAATACAGGTCCAGAGCTCTGTAGTTTCCAAGTGCCCAGTGCCCTATGGCCATCTCCACGGATTCTCGAGAAGGCAAATAGTATGCAGTGGGGGAAATATAGGGTAGGAGGCCAAAAAAAGTAGAAATTTGTGACTCAACTCTCACTCAGAAGCATCAAGATCTTGGGCAATTATTATCTGGTGTTTTTACTAGTATCTTCCCTTTCTTTTCTACAAAAAGAGGAAACGATGAGCAAAAATGATGCTGAAATGAAGTGGTCCAGCCCTCTCTGGAGAGAGCTCATTTCTGACATTTCCAAAGTCTCAGGTCTCTCTATTTGTACAATTTAGTATTTTCAACATCAGTAAGTCTACAAACGTTTTTTTAAATCAGCACAAAAGGTACTAGAAATCATTGCAGCCTTTTTTTAAACAAAGTGTGTTTCAGCAATCCTCCCCTCATCTCCCCACTCCCTTGCTTCTCCTAGACTTCCCGACTTCCCTTCCCTCTCCAACGGCTTTCACCATTCCCCTTTCCTCTTTCATGTCCTGTGTGCCCTCTCTCCTACCTATATCCTTTATCACCTATTTTTTAAATCTTGTCTCAGTAACATTTCTAGTTATTAACTTTTACCTACATCCAACTTTAATGAAGTTACACAGACATTAAAAGTAATATATTGGTGCAGTTAGTGTCATAGTCAGATGTCAACTCGAAACAACTTTGGAGTCACTTGGGAAGAAGGAACCTCAGCTGAAGAATTGCCTCAATTACATTGGCCTATGGGCATGCCTGCGAGGCATTTTCTTATTTGCCACTTGATAGAGAAGGAACCAGCCATCTGTGAGTGGTGCCAGCCCTATGCTGGGCTGAGTAGGGAAACTAGCTTAGCAAACGAGAGGAAGGAAACTATCAAGCAATATTCCTTCAGGTTTCTACTTCAAGTGCCTGTCTTATCATTTCTGGAGGATGGACTGTAACCTGTAAGATGAAATGAATTCTTTCCTCCAAATTAGGCCAAATTTATTACAGCAAATTAAGACAGTTGGAATCCCCTAACATCCAAAAGCACAAAACATGAGCACATATAAATAGTAACCAATGTTTTTAGTTTAGAGAACATTTAGAATATGGAAGACATCATTATTAAGAGCTGTCCCTGAAATTGTGGCATCTCTGAGGAAACTCTGTGAGACTTAAGTAATCTTCAATGTACAAATTTTTGTACAGGGTATACAAAAAACATACAGGAAAGTAGCATGTAGGCAGAATAAAAACAATTTGTAGAATTATGATGAAAACGCAAAGTAAAAACCTAGCTCTTGTTGGATGCAAGTCCTCTTCTTTTACTGCTGCATACTGATACTCCAAGGGTAAGTTGGCACAGACGTTTGGAGAGGAAGATATGATTAAATGTATGGGGAAAATACTAGGAATTGAAAACTGATTCAATGATAAGACAGTTTGTTGGTGGTGGGATGTCTTGAACTTGGTAATTTAAGAAACATTTCTATAACGAGGGAGATGACAATCACAGTCTCCTCTGGATGGATACACCTAAGTGCCACTTGCTTGCCACAAGAAAGAAGAGTTGCTTTAACTAGAAATCAAAGAAAAGGTTTCCACAGTAAAACAGTGAATGGTTCAAAGTCACCTTCTGCCATAGAAAGATGAGTTTTAGGAACGGGAAAACTTTCAGTATTTAAAAGGAAGGACTTGTGAAAGATATGCAAGCTGCCATCAAAGAGCTGGATATCTCTCAAGTGGGAGGTTTAAAAGAAAGGAAATTGTAATTTCTCTATTACAGTGTCACGAGTGACCATGTGGTACATGCCATGTAAGCTGTTTTGAGTGAAGGGAACAATGAGTTTCCAACATTCTGGAAAGGCTGTTTGGTGATATTTCCATAAGAATGAACTAATATCAAGTGTAGGTCCATCCTAAGGCGAAGAAGTGGACTGGCAGGAATGTTGCCACCAAAATTCAAGACAGAAAGAACTAAATGCTGCATGGTTCAAGGCCGAGTCTCTGAAACTTAAGAGCACCGTTGCCAAGGGCTGTGGAAGAAGTTGACAGTGTTAAACGTGAATGATGAATTTCCTTCACATCTAGATGGTTCTGTGAGTTTTGTATGATTGTAAGTCCTTGGTAGAGACTTAAAGGATCTTCCTGTTTTCCTTTTTAGCTTTGGTTGTGACTTCCTGGATGGAGACGGTTCTTTTGAATGCTGCTCCATAGACCCCCTGACAGGATCTCACTATGTCTGCCGTAGAAGCCCCCGCCTCCTCACCAACGGCTACTACGTTTGGACTGAGGACAGTTTCCTCTGCGACCCAGACGGCCACATCACCCTGAACCCCTCCCACACCAGTGTTATGTACAAGGAGAACTTAGTGAAGTAAGTAGAGAATGTTGTGTAAAGGCTTCTCAAGGCCCTTGTGCCCACCTCTCATTCATCCACACATTGATAAGCAGCTCAATGCTGTCCAAGAGGATGGGAATAAAAGAGAAATGGGAATCGGGGAAAACCAACATGGAAACAAGTGAAAGTAAAATGAATTGATGCCCATGCTGGGTGGAAGTTGGTGTTGGGGACGGTGGAGGGAAAGAGCAGTTTCACTCAGGGATCGGGCAACATAGGAGTCTTGGACATGGTGATGATGAATTCCAAAAGGGTACCTGTTAAAACAAAGTAGGAATGGAACGTCATGGAGAAGGCACAGACAAAGGACTCTGAGAAACCCTGATGCAATTAGGAGAACGCAATTAGCTTGGTGGGCATTCCTTTGAGAAAGGGCTTCCTTTGAGAAAGAAGGCTAAAACTATCCTAATTGAGAACCATGAATAACTAGGGCTTAGGATCTGGCACATGTTTCAGTGGGTCAACTGCCCTGTGTGCAGGCAACAGGAAAATGAACTCAGATCCCTAGCACCCCCACAAAATCCAGTCAGAACATTGTGCATCTTTAACCGCAGAGGTGGATAGGGAGAGACAAGTGCAATCATGAAGCCCATTGACCAATCAGGGAGCTCAAGGTTCAGTAGAGGCCTTGTGTCAAACAATAAGATGGATACTGATAGCGAAAGATACTCAAGGTTGACCTTTGGTTCCCCCCTCAACCACACATTAAAATGCAAATTAAATACATAAAACACAAAGCTTGCTCTAAGCTACCTTATACCGAGGGAAAACCACTTCAAAATGCATCTTCTGAGCGCAATTCTAGATTCCCCTCTGAAGAGTAGAACTCAGTCACAATAAAAACAATCAATTTCTTCTTCGTAGTACTTGGTCCTGGATCAGCCCTTTAGCATCTCACACTAACGTAATGCGTTCAGAACACTGCTTGGCACATCCCTGACAGGTGTGCAAGAAGTGACCTTGTCATGAACTTTCTGTCATTCCCTGCCCTCAGTCCCGCCCCTCCCCGCCCCCACCAGGCCATCATCCTTTGTGGCCAAGAGTCTTTGGAAATGAAAACCAAGTCACATCATTTCCTTTCCCAAGACACACACCTGTGGTTTCCTTACACTAACATTAAGTTCCACGTTTCCCTAGGAAACCTTCAGGAATCTTTACTATTTTTTTCCAGCCTCATAATTCTACCCTGACCCAATACGAAACACAAGTTAACAGCCATCTCGTACAGTTTATGGTCCACCTGTCCCAGAAAACTTCATTGATTATCAATTTTCCTGGCCATTCCAGTCCTCTGTGGGCATCTTATATGTAATTCTTCAGAGGACATATCTCCAACATAATATGATGGTGAGGATCAGCATCCATGAAGCTAGACTGGCTAGGTTTGCTTCCAAGCTACATCATTTACTGGTTGGATAACCTTAGCACAATAAAATGACCTCTCTGAGTTTTATTTTCCAAATACCAGAAATGGGATCAAGATCTTCCATATCTCATAGGGTTGTTCTAGGCATCATGAGTGTTTATCTCTGCAGAGCACTGAGAAAACTACCTGACACCAAGTGAGTCCCATCTAAGCACCAGCATTGTTTGCATGTCTTGCCAGGTTCCTAGAATATAGACGATGGCCACTGTGTATACATGATTTAGTCTTTACCTCAGTATCATTGACAGGTTGACATACATCCAAGATAAACATGACTCTCATCTCAAAAGGGACAGTTTACTACAGAGTCAAATATGAGTGACCATGTCACAGGAACACAGGCTGAGGTACCCCACATTTTATACTCTGGAGCCACAGTTACATATATTTGGCTTCAGAATAAACTATCTCTTAACCACTCTGAGGGGAGAGTTGTTGTTTGACATCAACAGCTATTGTGCCCAAACTTGGAACCCCCAAATGGGTCTACTTTTCACCAGAGCTGTCACTTAAATCAGAGCTAGTGACCAGTTTGTGCCCAATCATCTAGACCTGCCTCCTCAGGTGATGTTTGGGATTTGTTTCTGGAGTTCAGATGTCCCTTGGTTTGGTTGATGGCCCATTCATTTGTTCTCAGTATTTCAGTATCATTTCAGCTATATAACTTAACTGTCAAACAGCAACAACAAAAAACTTAACTCTCATCTCAAAGGGGATAAGAGATCACTTATTCTAGAGACAGATGAGTGACCATGGCTCAGAAACACAGATTTAGGTTTCCTCAAGTTCCACATTTCAGCGTGGTAACACTTTCATGAAGCTTTTATAGTAATAGGAAAGAGAAAATAATAAATGTCCCAGTTAGAGTTACTACTGTTGTGACCAAAAGCTACCTGGGGAAGAAAGGATTTATTTCACTCATACTTCCATCATCAAAAGCAGCAAAGGCAGGGGCTCAAGCAAGGCAAGAACCTGGAAGAAGAAGAAGCTGATGGAGAGGCCATGGAAGGGAGCTGCTTATTGGCTTGCTCCTTTTGGCTTGCACAGATTGCTTTCTTGTAGAATCCAGGACCACTATCCTATGGGTGGCATCCCCAACAATGGGCTGGGCCTTCTCAAACCAGTAACTAAAATAATTCTCTATAGGCTCATTTACAGCCAAATCTTGGAAGATATTTTCTCAGTTGACATTACTTCCTCTCCAATGACTCCAGCTTATGTCAAGTTGACATAAAACTAGCCAGCATAGTAAGTCAAGATAGTTTTTAAATGTATTGATGGGAATACCACCAATATAACAAAGTGAAGAACTCTACTGTAGGTCTCAGATGTTAACATATGACATTCTTAGCTTTTTAGTCAATGGAATCTTTGGTATCGTAAGTTAACAAATCCCAATGACTTTCCAGTGATAGTCACAAACAGATATGGGCAATGGACATGTATAAATATGACTAAAGAGAGTCCAAGATAATTAGTGTTTGTGCTATGGCTCTGTGACATTTCAGCCCTTTCCACAATGGATATATGTTATAAGGTGGTTACTTTGAGGGGAATGTCAATTCACAATCCTAGAACACAGTAGACCTCTAAGAAACTTTTGAGGAATTGAGTGTATAGGTTTGGGTTGTAGACCTACTCCGTGCATCAAGTCATTTTCAATGGATTGTTTCCAGCCTGAGGTGACTGCTACTCACTGTTTTCATTTTTTCACAGAATATGTAGAAAGAAAAAGAGAAGCCACCGTTCTCTTTCCTCTCTCTTGGACCTCAGAGCCTCTAAATCTTGGCTACATGGAAGCATCTTTGGAGAGGCCGACTCACCTCCAAGTGAGGACACCTGGCTGGAGGGCATCAGGAGCCTGGGTATGTATGTACCACTTCGATGAAAATGGTGATCTCACCTTTTGCATTTCATGATAAGATATCATTTACGAATGACAGTCATATAGTCCTGGCCCAAGGCACAGTCCAGAGAGATAACTATCATTTTGACATAGAGGGTGAAGCCAGAGTTTAAAATATCATTGACACGTTTCCACACACCCCATGGTTGAAGTACAAAGGCCATGTCATGAAAAATGTTAGAGTGTAAATATCTACATCAGAGTGTTGATAATACCCAGAAAATGTTGGCCCATTTCCAATGTGGCTTTTCATGTACACAGTAGAAATACAGAGGTGATAATGAAGGCAAGTTTAGAAGACCTGTACTGGAAACAGTGACCCCAAATTCGGATTCAAATCTCAGTTTTGGCATAATGGGATGGTGATGTTTTTAAACCTCAACTGCTTTAGTTTAAAAACATGGCATATGCATGCACATGCATATACATATATGTGTATGTTCTGTTGAAATAGATGATACATATGTATTAAATTACATATCTAATATACATGCTTATGTATTCATGCATCAAAATGTATGTATATAAATGATATGATATGAACCCAAAGCCCATTGTTTTGTTACTCACTCATCAAATCCTTGACTACATGCACTATGAAACCGTTGTGCTAAGCACCTGTTCCAAGCCAAATAAGTTGAAAAACAAATCTTGGGAAATTCCCTTTTCAGATAAGGGGGGAAATAGGTTTTCAGATAGTTACAGTATAATGGCTTAAGTGCCATCACAGGAGTAGGAACATGGACAGAATGGTGGAGAGAAACTCAATACATAAGGAAGAAAGGTAATCTGAGCTCAGCCTAGATAAGGCCAGAAGGTTTCAAGTATAGTAACATCCAAGAGGGTCTTAAGAGATGAGTGACTCACGAGGCAGATGAGAGCCAGAATGACATTTCTGCCTGTTCTATTCCACTTTCCAAGTTGAAGGAATTATGGACTTTTCAAGGTATATATTGTGGCTAGTCATTCCTTCCTAACGCATATAGATTCCTTTGGCTTTCTTCTGATTCTTAGTCAGAACTGCATTAATTTTCTAGCAAACAATACAAAATAAGAATGAATAGTCTAGACAAAACAAGTTAAATAAGATATCAGAGTGCTGAACTCAAGTGAGGCCAGCTGAGTATAGGGCCTTTCTGCAATCGCTCCTATCTCAATTCCACGTCTCTGGTCCTGTCTTCAGCATCACCTTCTGCTATTCCCTTACGCACATTTTACTCTAATTACTTAGGTGCATCTTTGTTTGCAAGAACTGACCATTTGGATGAGTGGTCTCAGTTTGGGAACTCTATAAGAAGTGATTCCTTTAACAGGAAGTTGTCTTTTTTTAAAAACAGAGGCTAAAACTGTCTAGGCCCTGAGTATAGTATCAAATAAAGAC